CATTGTATAATGTTTAAATCAGGGTAAACAGGGCCGGGGATTTAGCTCAGTGGCACTGCGCATGCCTTGCCTGCCTCACCTGCTTCGCAAGCGCAATGTCCTGAGTTCAATCCCCGATACCAAAAAAAATAATAAAAAATAAAAATAATTTTAAAAAAATCAGGGTAAACATATCTCCTTAAAGCATAGATGTTTTTCAAGATGTTTAATTTCAAAATAATTAGACATTTCCTAGGTATCTTTCTGTTACTGATTTCTATTTGATTTCCATTATGGTTAGATGTACTTTGTATAGTTTTAATTATTTTAAATTTGCTGAGGGTATAGCTCGGAGAGAGAACATATGCTTAGCATGTGCAAGACCCTGAATTCAATCCCCAGCACCCTACACAAAGTTTTTGTTAAATTTTGTTTATGTATTGTTTACCATATGGTCTCTCTTGAAGAGTGTTCCATGTGTTTTTTTGTTTGTTTGTTTTGGTTTTTTTGGTACTGGGGATCGAAATCAGGTCCTTGAGCTTGCACAGCAGGTGGCGAAACCACTGAGCTAAATCCCCGGCCCTCCATGTGTTTTTTTGTTTTGTTTTGGTTTGGGGTTTTTTGGTACTGAGGATCGAACTGGGGACCTTGCCCTTTCGAGGCAGGCGGTGGAACCACTGAGCTAAATCCCTGGCCCTGTTCCATGTGTATTTTAAAGGAATATGTGTGCTTCTGTTGTTGGGTGGAGTGTTCTATTAATGGCAGATTGTGTTAATTAATGGTTCTCTTCAGGCTGTCTGTATTCTTTCTGATTTTTCTATCACCATATTCTATCAATTCCTGAGAAAGTTATGGAAGTCATTAAGTATAATTGTGGATTTGTTTGTTTGTTTGGGTTTTGTTGTTGTTTTGAGACAGGGTTTTGCTCTGTAATTCAGGGTAGCGTTGAACTCACTATGTAGCCCAGGCTGGCCTTGAACTTGTGGCAGTCCTCCTACATCCGTCTCTTGAGTGCTTGGATTACAGGTGTGTGCTACCATGCCCAACTTGTGGATTTGTTTTTAATACATGTTTGTAGCACATAATGATAACATTCCTCATGGGAAGTTGGTACATGTACATAACACATCTTAATTCCTTTGGTTTTCTCTTTTTTGCTACCAGGGACTGAACTCCGGACCTTGCTCTTGCGAGGCAGGCAGCAGCACCACTGAGCTAAATCCCTGGCCCAATTCCTTTGTTTTTTTAAATTCCTTTGTTTTTTATCCCCTTCCCTTCCCCTCTTTCCCCACTCCCTCCATTCTTTTGGTTCCCTTCCCATATTCAAAAGATTTATCTCACTATTTTCTATTATCTTTTATTTTGCTCTTTATTTATAATTTGGGTTTCTCATATATGAGAAGTGATATTTAAGCTTGTGTATCTGATTTATTTCACTTAACATTGTGGTCTCAGGGTGCATTCCTACAAATGACTCAAGTTTATTCTTCTTTATGGCAGGGTAGTACTCCACTGTATACTTTACTTAACTCTGGCTTATTTTTGTGTCCTGGTCAGTGTAAGGCATTGTCCAGTGAAGAGCCAGGGTGGTTTCCTTATTCTATATTAGTTTGCTTATGAGTTAAATGGATCAATATTTGCATTTAAAACTGGCACCATATAATATTTGTGCTTGGGAGAGAGTCCACAGATTGTTTCGTTCTTTTCTCTGCATTGTGGATGACCTCTCAAACTTCTCTTAGATTGTAATTTTCCTATCAGTTCTTTCCTGATTACCCGCAATCTACTTCTTTCTCTCCTTTTCTTCACCAAGTTGTTATTTTACAGTGTCTGCATTACAACATAGATGAACCTTGACATTATACTAAGTGAAATAAGCCAGTCACAAAAATACATCTCATGAAAACAGAATGGGGGCCGGGGATTTAGCTCAGTGGTTCCGCCACCTTCCTCGAAAATGCATGGTCCCAAGTTTGATCCCCAGTACCAAAAAAATAAAAAAAACACAAAAAAATTAGAGTGGGATGGTAATCACCTTTTCCAGGAGATAATACTACTGTCTGTGCTTCTTTGTGAGTCAGCTAGCTTACAGTTGTATTACATGCAGTGTTGTTAACTGTATTGGTTACATTTATCAAGGATACAAGCAGTCACTCTGGCTGAAAATGTTATAGCAGATGTAGACGTAAGGAAGAGCAACGCGCTGGACCCAGGAGACTGGTGACCTAGCCTTGGTTTGGAGGCTCGATCCCTGCATGCCTGGCTGTCCCTGTGTCTCTTACACCTGTGCCGAGCATCGTAGCTGAATAAGAAGGGAATGAGCAGAGTTTAACTGGGAAGATGGAAACAATCAATGGAGATGGGGTTTGGAATACCCAGGTGTATCCATTTCCCTAAGTCATAGGATTTGTGCCTTGAATTATGTAAATTTTTAAAGTATTTTATTTTACTTTTTAAAAATTTTATTTATTTATTTTTTTGGTACCAGCGATCAAACTTGGGACCTTGCCCTTTCGAGGTAGGTCATGGAACCACTGAGCTAAATCCCTGGCCCTGTAATTTTTTTTTTTTTTTTTGAGATAGGGTCTCACTATGTAGCCCAGGCTGGCCTCAAACTTGCATTAGTGACCCTCCTGCCTCAGCATCCTGAGTGGTGGGATTTCAGGTGTGTACCACCATGGCCAGCTCAAATTATGTAAATTTTTCCTCAAAGAAAAGAGCTAAAAAGAACCTTTGAGTGGTAAATAGGCAGTGGTGGAGCTGAAACAAAAAGGCACACTCTCTGAATAAGGGTGATGAGTTCATGGAGGTTCATTACTCTGTTCTCTGCACTTTGTATGCATTTGAAGCTCTCTGTAAAGGCTCTTGGTGTTATTTTGAAACCTCACCATGTATTTCTTTAATAAAATAATGTATTCATTTTGTGGGTTACTGCATTGTTTCAAGGAAAACATTCATGTAGTCCAATGTAATTTTGGCAGTATGCCCACTCATTTCCGTTGCCAAAGGCAGTGACTTAAATTTGAATTCCTACTTCAGCTGAGTGAGGCTGAAAAGTGTGTGTAGTTTCTCCCAGGCTGTGCTCTCGCCCCCTGCAGGCTGGTCTTTACCCTCTCACTAGGAGGGATCGTAAATATGCTTATCTCATGAATGCCACCCACTGCAGTTCAAGTGAAATGCACATTTCATCATGGCCTGCAACCTGGCCCACGCAGTTTAGATGGGTGGACTTGTCTGATTCTCCTGTTGACTCCTCTGACCAGTGTGGGCCATCGCAGTGGCTTTCTTTTGCACACTGGCTCACTCCCACATCAAGGCCTTTGTGTGTGCTGTCCTCCTGAGACTGACTTCTCATCACTCAGTGAGGGTTGGATTTGAAACATGGTTTCTGAGCAGGGCCTTCCCTGGCCTCTAGCTAGACCAGCTTCCTCCCCGTCTGTCTAGAGCAGTGGGGCTCAGCACAGCACGCGGAGCAGAGTCACCAGCATCACCAGGAACATTTTCTGTTTTATATTTTGGGGGGAAGTGCAGAGTCTTAGGTCCCACCATAGACCCAATGAACCAAGACGAAGTGACTGTACTTGGAAATGTTCAGAAGTGGAGGTCTGCTGTTAGGTCTTCCCCTCAAGTTTCCTGTGTAACTGTGTAGGCTTGTTTGTTCCTAAAGGTCATTTGGTCACTTGTTTATTCCTTGCCTAACTAGAATGTAACCTCCACAAGAAAGCACCTCCTCTGTCCAGCGTGTTCACGTGTGGATTCCCAGTGCTGTGCAGTGTGTGCACCTGGTATGCAGTCAGTGCGCACTGGATGAGTGAGAAGATAAACGAGTACAGTGGAGACCACCTTGTGTTCTTAACTATATCACTCTATGCAATAAAAACCTTCACAGCTCCACTTGGTTGTAAAATTGTATTCATACCTCTCAACATCTCTTGAATCTTTTTCTTGGCTATGAATAGTATTAAACCTGTGTGACTAATACAGGTCCTTTATCCTCTTTTTCAGGCAATGTGTCTTCAGAAACAGAGTTGAGGTTTTATTAGAGTGCATCTCTACTAACTTAACATCATAACTATTTGTTTTCTTTTTGGTATTTAAAAAGCACTCCCATTCAGAGTTAAAATAATCTTCAAAGGTTTTTATGGAAAGTAAATGTTAGTTTGATATTTATATCAAGTTTCATTAAATCAGAATTTAATAATCCTTTTTTAAAGCAAGAAAATAGGATTCTCAAAATGTTAAATCAAATGAAAAATTTCATGTTAAACATTTATGAGAACTAATGTGGCATACGATGTATCACATTTTTACTTGAGATATGTTTCTTGGAAAGAGCTATAGTTTCTGATACTGTCCCATTTATCCTGTTCCCAGGATATGTTTCTTCATGCATAGGCTGGTGAATTTGCCAGGAAACAACTTCTCAGTCTGCGTACTTGGAATGAAGTCACTGCACAGGTCACACCAATAGCTTTCAACCCCCAGGAACTTTTGGCCACAGCTGAAGGCATTTTTGGTACTCACAGCTGTGGCAGAGAGGAGTGCTATTAACATGTAGTAGGTAGAGGCCAGTAATGCCCTTGACACTCTGTAATGCACGCGCACGCACACACACACACACACACACACACACACACACTAATCTGGAAGAATAGGTCAGTGGTGCCACAAAGGAGCTTGGCTTGAGAGCCTGCCTGCAAACGCTGTGCCGTCTAAACAGCACCGCTTTCTGTTGCCTTCGGGAAGTGAAAACATATAGAAACAGGCCACTTAGAGGCTCAAATGGGTATGTTAGCTCTTTTAGATATGTTTATTTTAGATTGTTATTTTTTAATCAGCTGTAAGATAGAAATCTAATGACTGGCTTCTTTGTGGGTTAACAGCGTGTTAGAACAAAAGATTTTTAAGAAATTTGGCAATTTAGTTGACTTTAGAATTGGATAACATTCTCAAATAATTTTACATTTTTAAAAATAGGGAATCGTTAAAATATAGGGTTACTGGTTTTCCTTATTTTACAGATGGGGTCGAGGATTTGGTCTTTTGGGTTCCATTTTTGGAAAGGATGGTGTATTAAACCAGCCAAACAGTGTCTTTGGACTTATATTTTATATACTACAATTATTACTTGGTAAGTATTTATAAAGCAATACAAAAGTACATTTGTTATATTCCATTGAGTACTTTGTGACTTTGCTCTGAAGTGTATATTAAATACAAACATGTTAATGATAGAACCATTAGTTTGTAGCATATTTTTGTGTTGTGAAAACAATGCACTAAAATTTTTATGATGATAATGTTCAACTTGGTATCAGTTGGTGTTTAATCATGGATAGCATCATCTCATGATGTCCAGGAAAGCCAGTCCAATCAAGGAAACTGCTACTCGAAATACGTTTGCAAATGTTTGGTTTTTTCCTTACTGTAGACTCTGTAGCTATTTTAAAATATCATGTATTAAGAAAACATTAATAGTAAACCATATTCATAATTCCACCACCTTTACATATCCACTATTTCCATTGTCTTATGCTTTTTTGTAAATGATGCTGGTGATCAAAACTAGGACCTAACTGAGCTACATTCTTAGCCCTGTGTTGCTCTTATTTTTAACATGGTATTGTCCTCGTATTTTGTTATTGTTGGCATCTATAATTCATATTTCATATTCTAGATAATGCTGCAGTAATCAGTTTTGCTTAAAGCCAACCCTACTCTTCCTCTTGGAATTATTTTCACAAAATAAATTTCCAGGCAGGAGGTTAATGAGTCAAAAAGCATAGAAGTGTGTGTGCGTGTGTGTGTGTGTGCGCGCGCGCGTGTGCGTGTGTGTGTGTACATGTTTTATTTTGTTTTGCTTTGGTGGTACCAGGGATTGAACCCAAGACCTTGACACTGAGCTACATCCTCAACTCTTTATTTTTTATTTTGAGACAGAATCTCACTGAGTTGCCCAGGCTGAGTTCTAACTTGTGATCCTCCTGCCTCAGCCTCCTAGAGTGCTGAGATTATAGGGATGCACCATCACACCTGGCTATAGACATTACCAAATTCCTTTGCCCCTAGTTGTCTGGTTATCCTGAAACTTTATCCACTCTTCATTTTTAAAATGTGTTCTATAAAATTTCTGATAGTTACATACTAATAGCTATTATTTTAATTTTACTACATTTTAATTTCCTTTTATTGACATTATAGTCATTGGGATCCTGATCCATTCTCATTTGTTGCAAATGTTTTTCCCATTCTTTATACTTACATTTTGTGTGAATTTTTATTATGTAAGCTTTTATATTTTTATAGGTAAATCCATCTGTTTTTGCCTTTGCATTTCAACTGTTAATATTTTATTCCATTGTTTGTCAGTTCTTCTGTGACTTAATTCATCAAGATATAAGTAATTCTTCTACCTGAAGTTGATTTTTTAGACAAATTGTGAATGTGAATTTTCCTGAATAGTCCTACCAAGTTTGCCCAGTTCTGTATCTGTATATTATTTATCCTACAGAAACATAAAGATGTATACACGGGGATATTCATAGCAGTACTATTTAAAATAGCAAAAATTGGAAGTAGCCTAGAAATAAGTAATGGTTGAATAAATTAGGCCACATCTATAATAGAAAATATTTGTAACCATTAAAGGAAAAGTAGGTCTTTGTGTGTACACTAGACAGATGAAGACATTGTTCAGTGAGGAAAACTGTAGGTTAATAGATACAGGGTAAATATATATGTGTGTGCATGTATATGGAAAAGGGTCTGGGTTGGAGGGGCGAATTGGACTTTTAATTCCATATACTTATGTTGTTGGGTTTCTAATAAAAACTGTAAAGTATAAACCCAAATGCAAGGGAATAGTTTATTTTCTCTAAATAGGAAAGAGCCTAAGAAAAGTCTTGGACAATATTAATTTTGGGAGTTAGAGGTGAAACTGTCAAATTTCTATTTGTAATATTAATGTTACTTTCATTACTCATTATTTCATTACTTTAAATGATAAGTAGTGTTTCTATTCACATTTTCTGAAGTCTTTTGCACTCCTCCTGTGCTTTTGCAATGTGTCTTTACCATTGTACACATTGGGCTCAGTGACAGTGTTCACAGCACACCGTCTTCCCTCCCTGTGTGAGATTCAGCTGCTGCTGTTTTGCTTTGGTTTTTTTTCTTTTAACTTTTAGGGTTTTAAAGATGTAATCAGTGCTAAGGGTATATTTTCCAATACTTCTTATATAAACTAAAATTTTCGGTTTTGGGAGTAAAATATGTTCTTCGTTGTTGACAAGATTATTCCCAAATTGCAGAAACTCATGTTTTCTTCATGGATACTGATCATTTCATATTTAATTCCTCCATAAATAATAGTCACATAGTTCCAGAATAAGATGCTGTACAGTAAAAGGTCTGTCGCACACTGACTCACTTTGCCCACATTTCCTCCTCGCCCCAGCTGGTAGCTTCATGTTGTTGTTCTAAAGTTTTCTAGTGCATATACAGGAAAATATAAACGTATCTTAATTTTCCTCCGTTTTTAAATTTAAGGTAGATGGTGCATACACTGCTATACAGTTTGCCTTCTTCCCCTTTGTCTTGGTGGTCTTTCTATGTCAGTACATTAAATGTCTTCATTGTTTTTTACAGCTGGAAAATACTCCCTTGTATGATTGTATCATCATTTATTTAGAGTTACTGCACATTTTATATGCTATTGGGAATTTTTCCCCAAACCACAAGTACCTAGTTTTGTTACAATAATATTTAAAATAATGTTTATAGTGCCTTTCAGTACTTTATTCTAGTTCATTTAATCATGCTTTATCCCAGCTCATTTAAATATCACAACAGTCTGAGGAGGTAGGCTTGAGTGTATCCTAGTTTTAGAATTAAAGAAAGAAAGGGAGAAAGTAAATATTTTTAAAATTTTTTTCAGTACTGGGGAAGGAACCCAGGACCTTGTGCATGCCAGGCACATGTTCTGCCACTGAGCCCCTAGCCCAAAAAATTGCACGTGAAAGTCATAGTACAAGCCACTAACATATCATGTCATTTTAAATTTTTCTTTTTTTTGGTACTGGGGATCAAACTCAGGAGCTCATACTTGCTAGGCAGGCACTATGCTGCTGAGTTAAATTCCCAGCCCGATTTTTAAAAAAATACATCATGTCATTTTAAAACTCTCTTAGATAAATTAAGGTGACAGCATTAATTTTTGGAGTTATACATGTTTAACATAGGCAAAGTCAGCAAACTTTTGCTCTACAGGGTCAGACAAAAAATAATTTTAGGCTTTGCTGGCCACTGTAACCTTTCAACTCTGCCTTTCTAGTGAAAGCAGCCACATACGCTGTATAAACAAATAAGAATGGCTGAGTTTCAATAAAGCTTTATTGACAAAACGAGGTGGCTGGCCAGATTCACCATGCTGGCACAAGTAATTCAACAGCATCTTAGTCCTGAGCCTTACTAAAGTGCAGTTATTTCTTTCTCACTGGCCCCACCGGCAAGCTCAGTCCCTGTGGCTGTTCTGCAGCCCATAGGCATCTCTTCTTTACCTTTTTGGCCAGCAGGCGCCAGGATTTATGCTTCTTCACTGACATCTTTTTTTTTTTTTTTGGTACCAGGGAATGAACTTGGGACCTTGTGCTTGCTTGCAAGGCAGGCAGCGGCACCACTGAGCCAAATCCCCGGCCCTCTCTGACATCTTTTAATCTGCATCACTTACTCTTAGCTTTTCCTGTTACTGTTAGCTCTTGAATAGCAGGGTGATTTAATATACTCTGCCTTTTCCTCTATCCTTGAAAATAAATACATATATTTCTTATATTATTGGCTTTAAGAGATTACAAAACAATACAGGTGGAGAGAAAAGTCAAGAATTGAGTTTGTTTTTTGTCTTGAGAGCCCTGGCTTAGTGCACATTACTGCCTTTTTTTCTTAATCAGGTTGTTTTGACCCATATATGGCCAACTGGCTAAGAGTAGTTTCCCTTGTCCACCAGGTTAGCCCGTTCCAAGATGCTTAACAAGATTTCCTCCCTTCTTAGCAGCATGTTGGTATAGTCATTTCCCAGTATGGATTTTTGATAAATTTGATCTAAAGATGAAAAGCAAGTTTTACCTCCCACAGATGGGGAGCTTGTGGTGAGATCAGGGGGAGGGCCGCACCAAATGTGTACACTGGGAAGAAAGACGGTTGTCCTCACATTTCTTTATTTGTTAGGAGGGCTGGGGCTGTTGATGCACAGCTCAGCTTCGTTGCTTAATGTGCTCATGAGATTGCACCCTTCTGTGCCTGCCCTTAGCTAGGGCTAGCTTATGAAGTAAGGGCATGTCATGTGAGATACTGATAAAAGCATTCCAGCTGTAAAAGCAGTGTCCTATTTGCAAAGCCACCTGCATAACCTTAGCAGAATAGGTATGTAGTTTCTGTTCTCACATTTCCGAGTTTTGCAGTAAGATCAGTATTCACACACTGCAGCAAAACTCAGAATGTTAGCTTTTAGCTCAGAAGTCCTCTCCAGTGTTGAGGCCCGAATGAGCCAAGCGTCTCTTTCTCTTGCAGGCATGACAGCAAGTGCAGTTGCAGCTTTAATCCTCATGACATCCTCCATCGTGTCTGTCGTGGGGTCTTTGTACCTGGCCTACATTCTGTACTTTGTGCTGAAGGAGTTTTGCATCATCTGCGTCGCCACTTACGTGCTGAACTTCATTCTTCTCATCATCAACTACAAACGACTAGTTTACTTGAACGAGGCCTGGAAACGGCAGCTGCAGCCCAAGCAGGACTGACCACCTGATGAACTCTTCCTGACAGTCTGAAATCCCTTTCTCCATTAAGTTTATTTTGCAACAGTTTTGGTTTTAATTTTTCACAACAGACACTTTCCCTAAGAATCTTAAACTGATTTTTTAAAATATTGTAAATTAGAAGGGGCCCTCACTATTTTCTGTGTCAATCTTCATTTTAAATATGGACACTAAAAAAGGATATGCCAAGCCAATCAAAGACAAGCTTTAACTTTACTTTGAAGATGTTTCTGAGATAATAAAATGTAGCCCTAGCCCCCTTTCCTCAGTGAGCAACCATTGCTAGTAATTCTTAATGTGTATAAATTCAATTTCAGGTATAACAAATGTGATCATGACATGAAAATATTTTAGAATAGATAAATATTAAATATTGCCATGTTTACAATATGTAATATGTTCTTAGCTGATGGATTGAAACGTAGATTCAACTAGAATCCATTTATGTGATATTTGTACATACAGGTAGAAATATTGGATCCATCTCTGCAGAACTTACTGTACAGTTTAGGTGAAGTGTAGCAGTGAGGACTCGTCAGCTCGACGCCGACTGATGAAGTAGTGAAAATAGCCCATACAGAGCATCTTGTGAGAAGTACTGGCAGCCATGGGTTCGGCATTGGCAGCAAAAAATAACAGGGGGGTGGGTTCCCTCTCATCTCCTTGTTCTGAAAGGAAGAAACTATATTTGAATGTCCAAGTCAAGTTTGTGTCTAGTCATGAAACTGGATCAATTGCAGCCTTACAGAATGAGTCCAAGAACGTCAGGACACTGAAGTTGGGAAAACTGGTATATTCTTTTTTGGGGGAAAAAACTGGAAATATCAATATGGCATTTTTAGGTAAAGGGTCTTACAATAGTTGAATTTTCAATGCAGATATTTTTCCTTGATATTGGTGCCACTCAGCCAAACAGTATTATGATAATAACCAGTATAAACCCAGTCACCTGAGTAGGATTGCTCTCCGGTACCTCCATAGTGTTTTCCCTCATTGTTTCTTTCTGCACTAAGGATTGTTAGTAATTGTTTTAGAATCAAATGTTGGATCTGTAAACTTCAGGGCTGACACACTGCTCCGTCTGTTCAATTAGGAGAAGTCCTACCAGTAGAAATATCTGAAGGTGAAATGCAGACATGTTGTCACTGCTGTTTCTGGCAGTAAGAATTTTTTAAAGTGATTTGAATAAACCCAAATGAAATTGTGACAGTATGTTTCTATGGTTAACATCTATCAGAATGTTAAAAGTGCCTTCTGTCTTAAATCTCAAACCAAATATTTTATGTGTTGAACTTGGGCAGAAGTGTCCTTCCTTCCTTACCATGAAACAAAACCTGCACTCTCCAGAAAGGTTCTGTATGATCATTTTATTCCATAGATTGAGAAGTGGTAGCGGTGATTTTGCTTCTAATTAATCATTAATAGTCGATTAGACTGGTAACTTTTGAGTGCTTTATTTGCCTTCTTTTTGAAGGGAGGAGACAGGCTCTCTGCTCTGTAAACTAAAACCTGTAGAGTCAGCAGTTGTTCAGTAGTTTACAACCAACTGTCATATAATTGACACATTGTAAGTCCTGTGGCCCCAGGCAGGTATAAAATCTGAATTGTCATGAATTTTTAATGGATTTTAACCAGTTTATTAAAAGATAGCTTAATTCAGATTTCATCGAGGCTTATGTTTTCCCGTGAATGTGAATATTTCAATGCCTGTCTTACTCTGTATGTACTGTTCCTGTGTTCTTAAGTAGTTAAAGGACTCCAGAAAGCACTGAATGTCTGGTGCTTATGGAGAGACAAGTCCCCGTGTTTGAGGACTGTACAGTAAGGTCCTCTTGCAGCCGAGCACCCGGTTCTACCAAAGCAGTTGACTGGTTCTCTTTTCTAACTAGAGTGGAAACGGCTTAACAGTGGAGACGTCTGTGATTTTATATATATCACAGTTGTGCTAAACAAGTTCCTCATGTCCCAATTTCAAATGTTCTTTCATTGTATTTTGTATTAATCAGCAGAGTATAGTTAAAGCTTGTCTTGATGTTGCATTCTTGCAAATATCTACAACTCTTACATGAGAAAATATGTACAAATGTTCAGCCAGACCCTTCAAATTTTTCCTTTGCTTTCCTAAGCCTTGGGGGAACCACTGTTTCAGTTATATAACAATTGTTGCCACATTCCTGTGACCCAGTAGAATTCATACCCTTTTTCTCACTGAGAGATGAACAGGTGCTGCCTGAAACAACAGCATTTCCCAAAACACCAGTATCTCAGTAAGCCCCAGAAAACTCCGTCGTGTGCTATTTGCTCTTTGCCCTGGAGGAATTTAGGTTCCTCCTGCACCTTCAATTTCACCCCGAAGAGGGGAAAACACCTATGTTATAAAACTTGAAGATTGTAGGACTGTGTCAGACCCAATGTTTAAACACTGCAGCATTGCTAGCCACCAATGTTGGAGAACAGGTTGGGGGGAAATTGGCTTTAGCAGTAATTCCATGCTTCATGTTTCTGAAGTGGTTCACAACAAATCAAGCCTCTTATCATAAATATTTGAATAAGAAGTTATAGTTAGATGGTAAATTCTATGGAGTCTAGGTGGTTTGGAGGATTTCATTTGGTTTTTCATCACAGCTAATTGGTGTCAATGAGGGTAAACTTCTGAAATAACTCAGGTTTAACTAGCTGTGTGCCAGGAATCACTCTGACTTGATCTATGTATTCATTATTTTTAAAGAATGCTAAAAGCATTGACTATTTTCATACAAAGAGACAAAGAGTTTTCGTTTGGTACAAAGGATCTTTGGACCTACTAGAACTCTTTGTTGGCTTTTGCTTGTTTTCATTTATATTTATTCTCAAAAGACTATCCTTTTAAAAGTGCAAAGACATCTTGAGCAATTGCTTTGTAACTAGATGGGCTGCACTGCCTGACACCAGTGAACTGACAGGTAAGCTCATATGAAAAATTAGTGAAGGGCTGGGGATTTAGCTCAGTGGTTCCGCCGCCTGCCTTGCAAGTGCAAGGACCTGAGTTCGATCCCTGGTACCAAAAAAAAAAAGAAAAGCAAAGAAAAATCAGTGTTGGACAAACCCAGGCAAAGACCCCACTGTCTTTTCTGGTACCTGTTTGGAGAGATACATCCAATACACAGCCTTTGTCCTCCAGCACATGAGTACTGGTGAAACGTTTCTACTTAATTTTGGGCAGCACTTAGGAACCCTAATCCGTGAGAACAAAAGGGCGAGGGTAGGAGTCCCAGCTACTTGGTCTTAAACATTTTTTGGACAATTTCGCCCAGAAAAGGTGAAATGTTTTGTTATCAAACTGTATTGAGCATGGCCTAAATATTAGGTGTACAATCTGTATAGTATGTGCCATCAAAAATATTTATTATTAGTGCTTTAAGCTCCTGAATAAACGTTCATGTAAAATGGAGTTCACTGGGCAGATTTCCCCTTTAATGTAGGTAGAAATATTCTTTATTAGAGATTTAGGATACCATTTTGCTAACTGGTAAACAAAAACAAATGTAAATATGTAAGAATGTTTATTTGTTGCACATAACTTTTTTGGTATAAAATAAATGTAGAAGTTACCTGTGGAAGTTGTGCTGCCATCATTCTTATAGTACAGTAGTTAGTTTTTAAAAAGAAGCTGAAATGAAGTCTTGTTAGATTCCCTAAGAGCCTTTAAAGTATGCTTGAAGTCGATGTTGTAACCTCATCCCTGCAGGGTGATTCTTTTCCTTTTCCATCCTGTGTAACTTATAGAAGACCCAGATTTCTCAGGGACTAGTTCTTTGAGTTCCCCTGGGTTTGTAAAGTGTGGTGGAGGAAGGATGAATGGCAGGTGTTCCTGCTTACACAGAATGTTCTGAGCAGATGTTTTCCCATGGCTTTTCTTTATCTGGAGTACTCCTTTCTTACAGTCTTCTATAGATCAGTCCCTACTTCAGGGAATAGAACAAATGTAGTCTATGCTGGAACCTTAGGGCCTGTGATATAGACTTTATTCCTAATTTGTAAAACATCTGTGTTTCTGTTACCTTTAATATTTTCAACATTTGGCAACTAAAGAGCTTTATATATCTTTGACATTAATTTTTATTTTTGGTTTTTTTGAGACAGGGTCTCACTATATAGTCCAGGCTGGCCTTGAACTCAGTGATCCTCCTGCCTCAGCCTCCTGTGTGATGGCATTACATGAGTGTACCACCACACCCGGCCTATTCTTTGACATGAAACTGAACACAGTGCTTGATTACTGTGAAGAATTTAAGAGCTTCCATGATAACCCAACATATGGCGCCCCAAAGATTCCTATTTGAACTGACTGTACTCATTTCTAAAAAAAATGGCCTCAAGATTAGGCAGAATTATCTTTCTTCTTTCCTTTCATGGGGCCTGGAAAGGAAGATCTAAGGTGGGATGTGTTGAGGCTGGAGGTCGGTTCCGTGACCACAGCGAGCAGACAGCGAGCCCGCGGCGCTTCCCAAGGCCGGGACTGACGCACTGGCTCAGCGGCGCCCCGGACTGGAGGGGACGGGAGCCTTCGGGCAGGTCCGAAGCCGCCTCCGCCTCGCCACCCCTCTCCAAGCTCCCAATGCAGCGCCTCACTGCTCCTGCCCCTCCGCTGCTCTCCATCTCTGTGAGCCTCGGAGCCGGCCGTGTGGCTGCAGCAGGGACGGGACAGACTCCCCGTGTGACAGCCCCGCAGACGCCGGCTCCAGGGCGGGCAGTCACTCAGCGCCACATCTGTACTCTCACACTGGAAAGCTTTATTGTCACCTGCAACCGCTTCCAGCACACTCCCGCGGGGCCCAGGCCGCATGGAGGCGCCCAGGGAGGCACCGCCGCAGTCAGTGGGCTGCTCTGCAGACCTCCACCTCGCCCCCCGCGCCCGCCCGGGTCTCGTTGGCCAGCCGCCAGTACCGCTCCCGCAGCAGGAACGCCGCACTCTTGGGCTGCCGCTGGCGAGTGAAGATCCCCTTTTTGTTCCCCAGGACTCTCTGTGGCACTGAAAAACACGGCAGAAGGTGAGGTCATCCCTTCAGATGACTGAGCCAACCTGGGCACTACCCACAAGTGTCCTCTCAGAGCTTAGGGCCCTGGAGATTGAACCCAGGGCTTTGACAGTGAACCATATTCCCATCCCCCCCTTTAATTTTTGAGACAAGATTTGCTAAGTTGCCCAGATGGAATTCAAACTTGTGATCCTCCTGCCTCAGCCTCACCGACCATGGGCATGCACCACCACACCTGGTTTGAAGTGACTGATCTCTTACGTGTTAAAGTATTTAAATACCACTTCCTGGTGTGACTGGTATCTTATGTGTTAAAGTATTTAAATATCACTTACTGGTGGTATTTCCAGGCTGCTGGTGGTAAAATTTAAAAATTTATCTTTTAGTTGCAAATAAGGCTTAAGAAATGAGTGCCCAGCTGCAAGGTGTGGGCCATTCATTCTTTTTTTCTCTTTACTTCTTCCTTCCCATCCAGTCTTGTTTTGGTTTGTTTTTGGTACCGGGGATCAAACTTGGGTCCTTGCAAACTTGGGTCCTTGCGCTTTTGAGGCAGGCAGCAGAACCACTGAGCTAAATCCCCGGCCACCGGTCCAGGTTTTTTTGTTGTTCATTTATCCCCTTTCCATTCAAATTTGTGGTTAACACTTTAACCTTTCAAAGGCCCTTCTTATGTAAATAATATGTTGGAATTCCCATGCCATATCCTCCCCTCCCCGAAACTGCCATCTGAAGTTACCAGGGACCTATGTCCATGCTAAGTCAAGAAACTAGAAACCTTAAGCCAGATGTAGTGGTGCATGCCTGAAATTCCAGCCCTCTGAGAGGCTGAGGCAGGAGGACCGCAAATTCAAGCCTAGACTGGGCAATTTGGGGAGACTGTCTCAAAACTTGGGCCAGGGATATACCTCAGTGCAAAGGCCCTGGGCTTAATCTCCAATACCAGGAAGGAAGAAAATGCTAGAAATCTAGAGGTGGAGAAAGCGGGAAGCACTGCTGGATCTTAACTAGAGTGGCTCTCAACTGTCCCCACTTGAGAAGACTTAAACACTCCCACATTCATGGTGCTTGGGACTCACCTGTTTTTAGTGAGCCTGCTTTTCAGAGTCAGTAACAGCACACTGCACTGTCCTATGTTTCTCGGGCACTGTGCCCTACTCGATAACGGGTGTCTCCAGTCCAGTCAGAGGTCCTACCGTCCTCCCCACTCTTATGAAAGACCCAGGCAAGCCAGCCCTTCATGCCTCAGGACAGGAGGCTCATTCACTGAGACAGGTTCCCACCAGCTTGTCCAGGCCACCCTTAAGCTTGCTGTGTCTCCCAGGCTGGCCCGGACTCCATCTTCCTGCCTCAGCCTCCCCAGTGCTGGGATCACGGGTATGCACCAGCCACCACGCCCAGCTCCCACTGGCTGTTTCACCATAAAATTTTTTGGGAAGCATGATTGCTTTGCTGTTATCAATCACAACTTGTCCTGGGAAACTACGCAGCCTACATTGCTTAGCCCATTTTCTAAACTTTGGTTTCCAGTGTTCTTAGAACCAGATGCCCAGAACTGAAAGCCAACCTGAAAAGCTCAGAAATGGTACAACCCCTCAGCTACACTGCCACTTACTCTGGTTAGTCATGAAATCGGCAAAATTCCAGATGAGCTCTCCAACCACATACTCTTTGCGTTTTTCATCCAGAACTGAATGGTACCGCGCCAGCAGGCTCTTCTGGTACTCCTCACTGAACATCAGAGGCGGGTCCTGGGGTTCAAGGCCAACAGAACCGCAGTCAAAACTGGCAGAACCGTAAATGTTAGATAAAAATAATGATCCACTTGCTGATGACCTAGCTATCTGTCCTCACCGTGGGCTGGGGGGACTGCGGGGCTTGCTGTGGTAGCACAGAGAGAAAGCCAGAGTAGGATGTAACCCAGAGTAAAAGAAAAAAAGTGTTTTTAAAAAAACCTTAATTAGTAACTTACTTATAAACCTAGTTTGATACATCTTTATCTTATTCTCTATCTCTGTCCAGTCTTAAAGCAAAACTACACTGAGTGAAAATACATCTTTGCCTCAGGTTTCAGGTAGCTGCTGTTGCATAATTTGAGAAGTGGTGTGACGCAGGTTTAACTCATTTGACAAGTGACCTCGCATCTGCCCTCAAGGGCTTTACCGAGCAGCAGGAAGCATAGCTAGCAGGAGTGTAAGGAGCAGGAACAGTGAGGGCAAGAGGCGTGGGGACAGCCAGCAGCGCGGCCTTTCAGTCAGGGCAGGAGGACAAAACCTTGCTGGCTTCAACTCCTTCCCAGTGAGAAGGACTACAAGGGCCTCAGGGCGCACTGGAAATTCGACTGCACAACGAAGGCACTTTTGATCCAGTTTTGAGCTGAAACTGAAGCAGGGCCAGATGGAGATTTTCTCGCTCTTAACGGAGATGGACCTGCCTGTCTTAACACAACAGCTACAAGTCACATGAGACTTGGAATTTAGGACTAAGAGTAGGTTAATACAGTCACACTTCAAGTCCTCAGTAGCCACACGTGGCCAGCCTAGTCACTATCACAGGACAGTGCAGACAGGGAACATTTTCATCACTAGATGCTTTGAGACAGTCTCTTAAAAATTCAGTCGATTACTTTTTCCAGGGGGAGAACAAAAATGCACATCCATGGATGTGTGCCCTCCTTTACCAGTCAAGAGAAGTGGCATTCTGGCTAAGCAAGGTGAACTCTACGATGTGGTACACAGTCCTCATTTAACAACTGAGTCCCATTGCTGCAACTAGGTCATTAAATGACCTGGTCTCTAAATGAGAAATTGTAGGTGGTATGTACAATACTCAGAGCAAAACAAAGGGCAAAGGAAGCTCCAGCTTGATGACTTTGCTTCTATCCGCCTAACACTTCCATGCGGTACTGTAATGAATAACAGAACATAAAGCTGTAGTACTGTACTATGCAGTACAATCGGCAAAAATTACAGCCCTGTTATAAACAAGGTGTATTGTACAAAAAGAGACACTGAGGCTCTATAAATAATGTACAGAACTGTACAAAAAAAAAGATCATAAGTCCAAATAGTCATTAAAACAGACTGTTAAATGAGAGATATCTGTTAGATATCATATTATCAAAACAGTTCAGTGAAAATGACTTGTTTTTCTTAAGAACACATGCTCTCCGACAACCTTTAAAATGAATAAGCAGCCACCAACAAACCATCACATCAGCTAGGTTTAGGTGACATTGATCGCCTCACATGTCAGAGAAGGTAGGGATGAAAATTATTCAGAAAACCCAGGATCTCTTATGATATAGCAATGATATAGAAAGTGCTCATCAAAAATCATGATTGCAAAACAGATGCCATCCAGATGTGCTCTTTAGCAAATCAATAAGGCATCTCCTCCTAACCTTCCTCAAATCCTTCCCGGCACCTCAGCAGCTTCCGGGAGTTCTTCATGGTTACACTGATCATACAATTGATGCTGCTGGAAGCTGGGTTCTGAATGTGCAGTTTTGGCTTCTGCAGGTCACTGCAAAGGAACAAGGAAACTAAAATGCTACTAATAAGATAGCACAGAACTATGAACCTGCTTGCCTATAAAAATCATTGGATATGCCATATATCCTTGATGGTGAAACTGGCGTTCATGGAGCCACTGCTGTCCTTGGAGGAGAGAAAGACATAGAAAGTAGGTATGCGGTAAAGGAGCTCACTAGCCAGGAGTGTAAGACAAAAATTAAACACAAAACAATCACAGAGCCAAGGAAAACAGAATTAAATGTTCAGGTGTTTACTGTGGTTCAGAAATGTATATAGAACTCTTGAGAAAATATGTGCACCCATGTGATGTGATTGTTCAGAACCGTACAAAAAAGGTTATAAGTCAGAGCAGCGGGCTGTAAGTCCAGTCATGAACAGGTAGGTCGTAAAACGAGGAACGTCTGTAGAGTCCACTGGGGTGGCTGCTCCCACGAAGGGGGAGCGTGGGAAGAAATGTACGCCTGACAGGAATCTCAGCGGAGTGGGAAGGGGCTGGGTGGGATGAGGAACCGGCTATGCGTCAAGAATCCACACGAAGCCAGGTCACCCGTGATCCTAGCACTCTGGGAGGCTGAAGCAGGAGTATGCCAAGTTTGAGCCTAGCCTGAGCAACTTAGCAAGACCCTGTCTCAAAATAATTCTTCTTTTCGGTACCGGGGATCGAACTCAGTACCTTGCACTTGCGAGGCAGGCGCAGTGCCACTGAGCTAAATCCCCGGCCCTGTCTCAAAATAATTTAAAACTTTGAAAAAGGACTGGGCGTCTATCTCGGTTTGAAGGCCCTGGGTTCAATATACAGTACTACAAAAACAAAATAAAGCCGTAGCCCTCCTGGACAGCCGGTGGGAGGCGTCTGGAAACAAGGCCCCTAAAGACCAAGTAGGCAGCCGGACCCGGACCGGGACCCAGACCAGGACCCGGACCCGGACCCGGACCCGGACCCGGCGGCAGCAGGAGGAGCCCAGGAGACCCAGATCCCTGAGGGACGGAGCCCGGGAGTGAGCGGAAGCAGAAACGCGCCCGCCCACCACTCGCCTCGTGCAGCCCCGCGATGGTCTCCGCCCCGTACTCGCTCTGGATGATCGGCTTCCGGTAGGCGCGGTGCCAGTTCTCGAACTGCGTCCGCAGCTGCAGCTCGATCACCTCCAGGTGCCCGTAGTCATGGTACCAAGAGTAGTAGCTGTTCACGCAGATCACGTCCACGTACGGGACCTGGGCGAGAGCGACAAGCCTGTAACGGCCAGGCCAGGGGGGCGCTAGGGCACCCGCGTCCTGGCGGGGCTGTGGCAGCAGAGGTAAGAAGGGGGTGCGGAAAATGACTTGGGTCCAAGGGCTGGGGATGTAGCTGGGTCCAAAAGCCATGGGTTTGATCCCCGGCCCCCCGACACATACACACGGAAGGCTCGTCTCCAGAGCCTGCGCTGGGACCGCTCTTCCGGTGACCACAGCCCCTTTCTGGACTGGTGGCTGAAAGATGCAGGCAGAAGATAGCTGGGGAGAATCATGGCTCACAAGGCCAGGCGAGCCCAGCAGGCCCGCAGACACCAGGTTCCGCACGTCCCAGGCCACCTTGTGCCACAGCGTGGTTCCCGCCCAACCCCTGTACTTCTTCACTGGCGTGTTCCGCAAGGCTTTCTCCACCTGTCAGAACTAAAATGCTGGCTTCACAATTCTTCATACTTGCGATCCTCCTGCCTCGGTCTCCCAGAGTGCTGGGATCACAGGCCTGCAACACCACGCCTGGCTCTCAATTTGCTTTCGTTTTTTTGTAAATGAAGTAGAGATGATACTGGATCTAAATCTTTCTCAATTTGCTTTTGTGCTGGTTTCTCATCCATTCTGCCTGAGGCTTCCTGTTTCTCTTCCTGTCGAACTGCTTCTTCATTACTTCCCTTCAGTTCCCAGATGAAAAGAAGTTTCTTTCTGCTGTGTTTCGGCTTCAGTTCAGCCCCTTAGAGTTCCAGGGGCCGCAGGCCAGGCAGGGAGCCCGGAGATGCCGAGGGGCCGCTGTGCCAGCCAGCTGCATCTCTGCCCCCTCAGCTGCTTGGTCGCTGGAATCACTGGGGAGCTGACTGTGATTCTGGTGATAAGTGTGCTTCAGAAGCACTGGGCAGATAAACTCTGCATGCCCTTAACTCTCTGGTGTTCTGGGACCTGATTAAATTGAGTGCACGTAGTGAGTGCGAACTGACAACAGTCAGTGCGCCAGCTCCCTGGATCGGGAAGCCACCTGCCGGGAGCTGTCCCCACCCAAAGAGCACCGTGGACACAATGCAGCTGGGCACATCCTCCCAGATCGCATTGGCAAGGCTGAAGGACAGGCCAGGGAGGGGACAGAAGTGCCGGGACCCCAGCTCACCCCCAGGTCTGTTTGATAGTTGGCATTGGTCACAAATGTCACCGGCCGGGAGGGGTCCAAGGCCTTGGTGTGGGTGATCACCGTTCTGTCCACAGAGGGCAGAAGACAGCTCCGTCAGCGTGCGGGACTCAGCTGTCTGGTGTCCCCTCCCTTACAGCCTCCCCCAAAACCTGCTCTCCTGTCTGCTGAGTAGCTTTAATCCTAGCACTCTGGAGGCTGAGGCAGGAGGATCCCAAGTTGCAGCCCAGTTTGGATGATTTAACAACTTAGTAAGACCCTGTCTCAAATGAGAGAAAAACTTAAGTCCTAACTGGCTGAAAAAGCTCTACAAGGCTGGGACGGAGGGGGTTGTGGGGCAAGATGGGATATTCACAAAGCACTGTGTTGCCAGGCAGGCTGCGCCCTTCTGGTGCTTGGGAGGGGACAGGGAGTTCAGTCCACAGCTGCAGGGAGCAGCGGGAGCAGAAATGGCACAGCCTGGGGAAACTAGCAGCAGATTACGGGGGCCGCAGCAGGCCCTGTGGGATATAAGGGGACAGAGTTTAAAGCAGAGTCAGCCTGCAGAGAAGGCAGCCGGAGGGGAAGAGGGGAGGCTCTGACAGAGGAGCCAGCCTGGGGTCAGCACATGACCTGGAGACCTACCCAAGGCCTCACAGCACAGGGCCCCCATTCACTGGGGTTTTGGGGGTGAAGGGGGCAGCACGGGATTGAACCCAGGCCCTTCCCACTGAGCTGCATCCCCTGCCCTTTTTATTTTGACACAGGGTCTCTAAATTGCCCAGACTGGGGCCGGGGATTTAGCAAGTGCAGGATCCTGAGTTCAGTCCCCGGTACCCCCCAAAAAATAAAAATAAAAAATAAATTGCCCAGGCTGGGCTCCAGCTTGTGGTCCTTCTGCCTCAGCCTCCCAGTGTGCTGGGGTGGCAGGCCTGTGCCACTCTGCCCTACTGTCCCTGTTGTTTTTAAATACAAAGTTAGACTTATCTGCAGGTAAGCTCTGGATTCATTCACGTGTGAACAGGACAGGGAGGGCCTCGCTGAGGTGACGTCCCCACCCGAATGGGTGGGTATTTGTTCCCCTGCACAGCCGGTATGGACGCACCTCGGGCCTGGGGCCAGGGGACACTGCCTGACTCCCAGCACACGCCACCCCAGCAAGGGCCACCTCCGCCAGCTCCTGGCTGACACTGGCGGTGTGACCGCTGCCCAGCACGGGGCACTCACTTGAAGTAGTACCCTGCGGGGTGCAGGCTGGAAGTGGGCTCGTTGGCCACGGACCACATCACAACGGCCGGGTGGTTCTTGTCGCGCCGCACCATCTCCTCCATCACCTGCAGGTGGTGCTGCAGGGACTGGTTGCTGTAGCTCTCACTGCAGGCGGGTGGGGAGGAGGGGAGGGCCTGTCACTGCCCGCTGTCACTGTCCCCAGGGCCAGGCAGGCCACACAGGGTGGGCAGCAGCCACTCACACCAGCACGATGCCCACCCCGGGACACTCGTCGATGACCACGATCCCGTAGCGGTCGCAGAGCTGCATCACCTCCTCCGCATAAGGGTAGTGGCTGGTGCGGAAGGAGTTGGCCCCAACCCAGCGGAGCAGGTTGAAGTCCTTCATCAGCAGCGCCCAGTCGAAGCCCTTGCCTCGGATCTAGGGCACGTGGAGCAGAGTAAGGAGCCCCGCCCACCCCTGCGGAAGCTGCACCTTTACAGAATGGGATTGAACCCAGGGCCTTTGCGCTGAGCCCTTTCTTAATTTTTTATTTTGAGAAAGGTCTCCCTAAGTCACTAAGTTGCCCAGGCTGAGCTTAACCTTCTGATCCTCTTGCCTCAGCCTCCCAGAGTGCTGGGATTACAGCCATGTGCTGCCACACCAGGCTTACTATTTGCAGCATTTGGCTCCAATGTGCCAAGCTGCGTTCGATGGCTTCAGGCACAAGGGGAAGGTAGAAGGAAATGACAAGGACCAGCAACATCCCACACAGGGGCACGGGAGCCCCAGCTCACATCCGAATCCTCGTGCTTGTTGACACCGTGGAAATAGAATGACTTCCCGTTGATAAGGAACTGACTCTCTGTGACAGCCACAGTGCGAATCCCAACGGGGAGCGTGTAGAAGTCGGCTGTGGGCCCCATTGCTGTCTGTGCAGTCATCCTCACCTGTGAGACCCAGAGCCCCAGTAACCGGCCTGAGCCCCCCAGGTGACCCGCCAGCAGGAAGGAGCCCCTTTTTTTAGCTTTTTCAGATTAGGTCTTGCTATGTTGCCCAGCCTGGCCTCAAACTTCTAGGCTCCTCCCGACTCAGCCTCTCCAGTGAGGTACCCTACAGGACCGGACACCACAGCCAGCTGAGAAGGACCTTGTGACACCACAGCGGCCCACCTTTGGGGCTGCGAGCAGAGACACAGAAATCACAGTTCCTAGCACTGTCCCCCATGGAGGGCGGGAAACTGAGAAAACTCCAGGGACCCTGCCTGTCTCCATGCCCTGGGCCACCAGATGGGGGCAAAGGCCTCCCTCAGCCCCAGGCCTGAGCCCATTACCTCCAACGAATACAGGTAGGCAGGGTCCTCGTGCATTAGGTATGGCCACCAGAGGCGGGCAGTGGGCACCTGCAGCTGCCCCTGGCCTCCTGTCCCCTGAGCCACGATGTGGCCTTCCACATCCAGAAGTTGCACTTGCAGCTTGTAATGTTCACTGCCCTGGGTGATGATCTGGTAATTCACCAGCCCTACGGGAAACGGGATCAGGGCTGAGGGAGGGATGGGGCCTGGGCCACCCTGCAGCTACCACTCCAAGGAGTCCTCTTAGGCCCCAAGACCCCAGCAGACAAATGCTTGTTTGTTTCTTTGTTACTTTCTAACACTGGGGATGGAACACAGGGCCTTCGCACTGAGCTGCATCCCCAGGCCTTTTTAAAATTTGAGACAGGGTCTTGCCAAGTTGCGAAGCTGCCCAGGCTGGGCTGTTTCTTGAGCTCAATGTGCAGTGAGAGGAGACGAAGCAAGAGCTGTGGTGTTGCAGGAAAGACCCCACTTCTCCCTGGGCCCCACTTCCTCACAGAGAGGCGCCACCAGCTCCAACTGCCTGGGGTTAGCTCAGGGTGGATGGAAGCCTGCAAGGGCCAGGACATGCCGAGAGGGCATTTTTCCTTTCTGGGGGAACCTTTCCAAACAGGGATCAGAGCCACTCTGGGTCTGGCTGAGGACACTTCCTGCCAGCAGGCCTCACCAGTGTCCTGGTCCACGTCAGTGGTGACTGTGATGTCATCGATATAAGCGGTAGGTGTGGTGTAGAGGAGCACGGGCCGGTGCAGTCCCGCGTAGTTGAAGAAGTCAAAGTTTATGTCCTGGATAAAGTAACCCTTGGGATACCTAGCGTGAGAGGGCAATGGCCAGCGGCCCTTGGTCTCCCTGACCTCCCCAGCCCCGGGACCTGGGTTCTGCGACAGCCACCCCGGCCCTGTCCGGTGGGGAGGTGCTGCTCACTTGGTGGTGTCGGTCTTGTAGAGGATGGTCCCCGGCGGCAAGGTGTGCGGGGTGAGAGTGTTGTTGATGGCGATGGTCACACGGCAGGAGGACAGGGGCCCCGTCTGGACCAGCTTGCTGATGTCAGCCTCAAAGGGGAGGTGGCCGCCCTCGTGCTCTGCCACATGGACCCCATTCACCCACTGCGGACACAGGAAATATGGGGAGGAGGGCCCCAGTGCAGGATGAGCCCAGCAGTCTCCCCAGCCCAGCGTGGGAACCCCAGGGCCACCCCAGAAGGCAGGCAGTCAGGTGACAGCCCCTGGCTGGCCTGCCGCTCCTGCACTGACCACGATGGCGTAGTAGTGGGCGCTGCCAATCCTCAGGACCACTCTTGTGCGCAGATCTTCGGTCCATCGGTGGGGCAGGACCACTTCCCGCTCATACCACACCCAGCCCACGAAGCTTCGCAGCTGCCCGTCTTGGCCCACGTCGTTGAAGCTGGAAGGGACTGGCATGTCCAGGGTGGCGCCCGACTAGGGGAAGGAGAGCTGGGCTCAGGCCTGGGTCACCCAGCAACCTGGGACCACTGACCACAGCTGTAACGCCAGCGCCCAGCGCAAGCCTGACAGGAGAGGGACGCTAGGTACTGGCTGAGCACCTGCCGCATAACTTGATCAGGCTCCAGCGCCCGGCCGGCCTGTGGCAGGTGGCACAGAAGTGCTTCCGCAGGGCACATCGGACCAGGGCCAAGATCTCCGTGACCCAGGGCCACGGCCCAGCCCGAGGGAGGAAAGGCCGGGGCCTGACTAAGAGGCAGAAGGCCCGCGGCCGCAGAGAGGAAGTGTGGTCCTGGCTGAGCCAACGGCGCCCGGTCCTGCAGCCGCGCAGCCCCTCTCCACTTCCTCCTCTGCTGATCGCTGGGCGGCCGCGCTGAAACCCGAGATGCACGCGAGCCCGGGCCAGCCGGGCAGGCGGGTACCACGCGGCGCGACCTCGCGGCGGGCCTGGCTCCCTCCCGGTCCCGCGCCTCCAAGCCCACTATCGTAACCTCCGCCCGGCCGGCAGCCACGGGTGCCCGATGAGGGTTCCGGGTTCGCGCACCTCGCGCAGCGGTCGCCGGTACCACTGCTCGTCGAAGCCTTGGTGCCGGGCGGCCGAGAAGTCGGCGCGGAAGCTCCAGAGGCCGTCGAGCTCCTTGCGCTCCCGCGACGGGCTCTCGCGGGGGTACAGCATCCCGCCCTGCAGCGCCAGCGCGCACCCCCAGAGCAGCGGGCCGAGCGCGGCCCAGCACCCGGCCGTCCGGGGCATGGTTCCCGCGCCGCGGCAGCTGGCAGCCAGGTAAGAGCCGGCTCGCGGAGGCGGGGCCGCGGGGAGGCGGGGCCGCGTGGGGGCGGGGCGGACCACGTGTCCGCGCCCGGAGGCCGCCCACGCCATTTTGATTGAGGGCGAGCGCCAGAACTCGAGGACTCCCGCAGTCAGACGCTCGGAAGCCGAGGCCGAGTCATCGTCCCCAGTCCAAGGGAGCGGGGACTCGGGCGGTCCTCCCACGGCTGCCAAGGTGTCACTGCCTTCCCCACTCGGGGACTGACTGATTCTCCCCAGCCCGGACGAGGCAGAGGCCGGGGTGCTCAAGGTGAGACCCCTGAACTCTCTGCCCGCCCCAGACATTGCAAACTCAGCCTAGCAGGGCAGTGGGCGGCTTAGTCCAGGCCTTGGGTCTGGCCCCACCCGAAGACAAGGGCTGAAGGGGATGGGCTGGAGGTGGGGCTTAGGGTCCCCATTACCTGGCCTGGATACAGACGTTGGCAGAGTTGCACAAGTGTTTGCTTTGTTCCGACTGCACGCCCGCTAAAGCAGCTTTCCGATAGTGGACTTTGATATTGGAAAGAGAGAGAGATCCCAGGATAGTAAAGTTAAATACAGGAGGTGAAAGAATATAATGCTTTTCCCAAATGCTTATTATATAGAAGTAAGAAGCAAGGTGTGGTGCCACACGCTTGTAATCCTAGCACTCTGGGAAGCTGAGGCAGGAGGATTGTGAGTTTGAGCCCAGGCTGCGCAGTTTAGCAGCTTAGTGGGACCTCAAAATTTAAAAACTTATAAAGGAATGCAGCTCAGTATGAAGGCTATGGGTTCAATCACCAGTGAGAGAGGGAAAAAGAAGAAGAGGCAGGAAGACAGAAAGGGAAAGAAGGAAGGAGAAGAGACCCAGAGGCAGAGAAAGAGAAAGGAGGAAAGACCTTAAGCCTCCGAATTTATGACCTGAGAACCACCTGCTGGTCAGTAAAGCCCATCCACCGAGCTACTTCTTCTCCCAGATGGTGAGCCCTATACAAATATGTAATCAAGCTGGAAATGGAATTTTGGAAGCACCATTAGTCTAGTTAAGAACAGGGAGCTAAGGAAGTCACTCCTTTCCATCCACTTAATTTTTTTTTTTTTGGTATGGGGATCGAACTCAGGACCTTTCGATTGCCAGGCAGGTGCTGGAACCACTGAGCTAAATCCCCAGCCCTATCCACTTAATTTTTTTTTCCTATCCACTTAATTTTAAATAGCACCCAGGGCCATCACACTTCCATTGCCCAAGAGATAAAAAAAAATACAGTAACAATAACTCAGGCGATCTCTGCTCTAGGTGAGAGAGCATGCATGTTGGTTCTCTTAGCCCAGTGATGGCAAACCTTTTAGAGCTTTCAATGATACAAACAGCCCAGTGTGGCAGGCATGCAATAGGTTCGCCAATACTGTCCTAGCCTGACCTTTATTCCCTTTACCCTACCTCATTAAGGGCTCATAAATATGTGCTATGTGTCATGCATGTAATTAAGATCAGAGTGAATTCTGGGACAAGCATTTGTGTTGAGAGACACAGCACCCTGTCAATCATTCCTATCACACCTAGAGATTTAGGAGAGGCACCAGGGTGGATTTGCATACTCTTTAAATTCAGAAAGTCTGACTTATGAGAGGCTGCTGCTGTGTGCTGAGCAGAGTGCAGTGCTTTTACTTTCCTGTCACCCCGACACCACTTTTATGCCACATCTTTCATCAGTGCAGTCCTGCCCTGAGCACAACTTCCCATGATCTTCGATAACTAGCTGCTTTCCACCTGCCCCTGGGTGTGTGCTCTGCAATTCTTTGCTCCCTGTACACAAGAGCATGGATTATATCTGCTCATCGTGCAGGAACACCAGTGCAGGAACACAGTTGGTGAGCGAGGAGTGAATGGAGGCAGAGTGGGGTCCAAGCATCAGCCATGAGATGTGCCACTGTTTTGAGTCCAGGACGTGAAGGGATGGAATGAGCCGCCCATCTCCTTTTGGGTGACTCCAAATTCCTTCGCACATTTCCTCAGGATCTGCCACCCCACCAACCCCAACTCTCAGCTCCTGAATACAACATGCTCCCAACACCTCACTGGCCTGGCTGGTGTTTATCAAGCAAAACAAACTGAAGTGGAGTGGCACTGCTTCCTGTGGACCCGGAGGCCATGTCAGCTGCATCTCAGACCTGTGCCGGGCAGAGCCTCTGAGCAGCTGAGATGCCCCCACCCCAGATGTGCAAGGCACCTTTTCCTGGGCCAAACTGGAAGTTTCCTAAACATCACTAACCTCTGCCAAGCTTCTGTGCCATGAACCCTTCCCCCAGACTACCCAAGGCCCAGGCTGCTCCCAATCCCTCTCTTACAATCCCTCTTGTTAGCACCGATCACTGCTCCCAGTGAAGGGCTGGGTGTGGAGCTCAAGCTTTTCCCTCATCCTGGAAGCCCTTCCTCTTTGTCTCTGACTAGAAGATTCTTCCCATTCTTCTAATGCTTCCATCCCAGCTCAAACATTGTTACCGTCACTTCTCTTGGTCCAGGCCACTCTCCTGCCCCCTACACATACAATCTACTGAGGACTTTGAACCTTTGGCTTAGTCTTTCAAGATACTGTAACAAAAATATCATAGCCTGGGTAATTATAAACAGCAGAAGTTGATTGCTCACGGTTCTGGAGGCTTGAGAAGTCCAAGATCAAGGGAAAATGCAGTATTGATGCTATTGGCCACCATTTCTAATATATATATATTTGTTTTGTTTTGTTCTTTTGAGACAGGGTCTCACTATGTAGTTCAGGCTACTCTGAACTCACTATGTAGCCCAAGCTGGCCTCAAACTCACAGTGATCCTCCTGCCTCAGTCTCCCCAATGCTGGGATTACAGGCATGGGCCACTATGCCCAGCTAGCCCCCATTTATTGAGCACTTCCTATTGCTTGGCCCATAGGAGGGATTCTAAAGAGGAAATGATTCAGAGAGCTCAGGTGACTCTCAAACAGAAACCAAGTCAGTTTGGCTCCACATCCAGGCCTAATCTCTGCCCTCCACATGACCCAGCACCTAGGGGGCAGTCGTGGTTGCATAATTTTCTTCTACAGCCAGAAATTGCAGTGCTAGGGGCTCTCAGCCCTGCCAGACAAGTGCTCATCCCCAGCCACCCCTCCTTGCTCTTTCTGATTTCCAGGGTCACTTCCCACACACATAGCTGCATCTAATAGATCATTTTCTTTGCCTCTGCTTCCAACTGGATGTGGCTGTAGAAAGCCAACATCCGGGATGGGATTCAGGGACTGCACAACTTTTTGGTTCACTCAGCAGCAGTGACCCAGCATTGTGTCCTAAGCAGAGGATGCTTATTCCCCCGTGCTTGGTGCTGTGATCATGCAAACCCTTACCTGTTGCAAATGGACTTGGAGCACAGGCAGAAGGAAAATGCAAGTCCCAACCAAACAGAAGTATAAGGAGTTCTAGTCGGTGTAGGGTAAGCTGCTCATGCTGGCTGCCGGGACACCTGGGAGAAAGAGAATGGCAGGCTGTCCTTGCCGACCAGCAGAGCAGGGCACTGTGTGACAGCCAGATGGCCACCTACCATGTCTAAGTGGAGCCACTTCTCTGGCAGCGTCAGGGTTAAACTGTAAAACGTCCCAGCTCCTGGAGGAGTGAGACCCTGTGCATTAGTCAGCTTCTTGTTACTATGACAAATACCCAAGGCAGTAGAGTTATAAAGAGGAAAGGTTGATCAGGCTCCTAGTTTCAGAGCTCCCAGGCCATGATTGATCCACTCACCTTCCAGTCAGGGAACAAAGGGGAACAGGGAGAGGCCTGGGTGCCACTGTCCTCTTTGAGAGGACACCCCTGAGACCTCCCACTAGGCCCCCCTCTTAAAGGTGCTGCTACCTCCCAGGAGCACCGTGGGCTGGAATCCCATCCTTTAACGCAGGGACTTTTGGGGAACACGGATCCAAACTAGGGCATGCTGGGACCCAGGATGTGGACATGTGAGTGTTAGCCTGAATTTTTTTCTGACTTATTTGTTTATTTGGTGCTTTTTGAGACAGGGTCTCACTATGTAGTTCAGGATAGCCTCAAACTTGCAGCAATCCTCCTGCCTCAGCCTCTCAAGGACTGAGATTATAGGGGTGTGCCACCAAACCCTGCTTGTGCCTGAAAAATTTGAACTTTCAAAGTTTCCTGGACTCCTTGAGCAAGGAAAGCATTCTCACCCCCTTGAAATAGCCTCCACTTGACAGAGGTGTGGCGCTCACCTCTGGATACCCTCCTCCAGCCTCCCTCAGGACCAGGCAGGGGTTGGCTCAGCCCAGCAGGGAGAGATAGGAGGAGGCAGGGCAGCCCGGCCCTGAGGAAACTACTCACTTCCAGCAGCCGTTGAGCCTGAGTGACAGTGCTGACAGGAAGACAGGATTACATGACACAGTGGCCTTGAGTGAGTCAGGCCAGAACGGGGCCTGGAAAGCCAAGGAGGGGCAGATTTATCCTTACGGGCCAAGGCGACTCTGGTGAGTCAGGAGAAGATACACAGAGCCAATTTTTTTTCCATGTGTGGGATACTGGGGATTGAAGTCAGGGCCTTCACAATGACCTGCGTCCCCAGGCCTTTTTGAAGTTTTTATTTTATTTATTTATTTATTTATTTTGGTACCGGGGATCAAACTGGGGTCCTTGCGTTTGTGAAGCAAGCAGCGGAACCACTGAGCTAAATCCCCGGCCCTTTAAGTTTTTATTTTGAGACAAGGTCTCACTAAGTTGTCCACCCTGGGCTTGATTTTGGGATCTTCCTGCCTTAGCCTTCCAGAGTCCTGGGCTGACATTTGCACCTGGAATCAATCTTGTTACACTCCTGGAAGATTCCTCACACCTTGAGCACATTGGCAGCCGGCTGTGAATGGGGAGGGGGTGCCAGAACTGTCTTGCTGGAGGTTTGGGGAAGCCCGGTCAGCTTCCCCTCTCTCCCACCCTGCAGGCCAGGACTGTAGCAGAGAAGAAGTGCTGCACCCCAGGG